ATATGTAGCAAATGAAGTTCTCAGTCTGTGCATAACAGTAAGTGTTCAGGAAACACAATTATTAGAACACAATTATGTTTAAATTGAGCAACTGGGCAGATGTTTGAGTATGGGTGTTTCTCTACTTCAGTACAGCTGTGTCATTGAGACACACCACGTGAATGCTTCGTGGCATCTGACCTGTCTCAGTCCTCTGCAGTATTGCACCTAGTGTATTTGACTCTTAATTGAAGGAGTTTGTTTGTTTGTTTGTTTGGGTTTTTTGCTTTGTCTTAAAAATAAGTGCAGGAAATAGGCCTGCTCTCAAGTAAGAATTTTCTCAAATAAAATGTGTTGTTCCCATTCTGTAATGCTAATTCTGTAGCTTTAACATGTTTAAGGAATTGCATGTTGATGGTGCTTGAGAATTAATCATTTCAGAGGCATCAGACTTCATACTTTACCTAGTTGACAGTGATCCATGAACATCATACTTGGCTTAAAAAAATTCAAGGTCCTGGAAAATTATAAAAAAAGCTGCTGACAGTTCTTGATGTGGTGAGCTAGGAGGGAGGGAGTATAAGCAAGGGGGGGGGGGTAATGACAAAGTTATTTAGATGCTTAAAATAATTTAAGAAAGGAATTTGTTTGCAGTACCTGTTTATAACCTTTAATGCAGAAAATGCGGCATTCTTGGCTTTTCATTGAATTTTGGCTGATTGGCTTTTGTTCTAGCAGTAGTGTACCAAACCAAAAAGAATGCAGAAAGTAATGCATATGCTTGTGCTATTTAATGCCATTTTGAGTAGTAATATTAGCCATGGTTCACACACAACAGTATTGACACTTTGTGGCAATAATTGAGACCTTCACATTCCTAGATATTCAGATTGGACAATACTATTAGATGGATAAATGCAAAATGTGTGGTTTTGACCTCATGCACAAAGGAGGACTTTAAAAGACAAATCTTGTATTTCAATCCAGAATTATTTTGGACGTCCTTTATAGGTCTTGAAGGTCATAAGCAAGTACATCAGGCAAAGTTAAAACACTGCACTTGAAATAAAGTTCTTCTGTTGCAGCAAAACACCACAAAACGTGCCCAGAGATGTAAACCGAACGAGGATGATTCTGGAATTTAGTTGAAATTGTTTGAATAGTTGTTGTGTAACTTGAAATCTCCCCAAAGCCTCAGTACTGGTAATTAACAGCAATCCCAATGAATATTGAATGGGGGAATGCATAATGTGATGTGGGGGCAGAGTAGTAGCCTGTTTGTCTGAACTGTGGTAGCAATATACATTTAATTTGCTTTGGTAATTATGGACCTCTACTCAGTGAACAAGAGAACTTCTTTGAGAGATCCAACAGTTGAGAAAAAGCTGGTTTAAAACCAGTGTGATCAAGGCAGATAATCTGATGTGCGATGTGTCGCTTTCTGCTCAGAATCAAGCAAGTGATGACTGTGTTGGTCCAAGCCTTTTCACCAAAATGGTCTGATGCTGTACTGACCACCCATTGCAACTCCTGCCTGGAACTCGGAGCTTGTCGCCCTTGACTTTCCTTTTTAGATGCCTGCTGTAGTTTGCATTTGGCTAGGCCATGTCTGGATGATTCCTATAAAGGAAATGGGAGGTTTAAAACCTGAAGTGATAAAGTCAGAGATCTCTTGCTGGTAATTCTCGTGTACATTCGTGGACGGTTTTGATGAAGTTTGACTTCCAGTAGATTCTTATAACTTCTTTCTAATCTAATCCATTGTAACGCTTGTGTTGAAATAATACCTCTGCATCTTCAAACAAAAGAATGTTTCAGTTGAGGTGAATCTTTGGGGAAAGTGTGGACATCAGACTGTTTGCTTCAGTTTTTGACAAGTGAAATGTTTTGATTGCTTTAGAAACTGAAAAGGTTATACCAGTTGTACCAGCAAGAGAAGAAGTGTTGACAAGTGTTGACTTCCAGATGCTTACTTAAATAACACTTGGTAGATAGAGCTTGGTTTCGGTTTCGTAACTTGCTTGTAGGATTATAAAAAGAACATACATGTAATCTATGGAGATTTTTTTCCTAGAAAAGTATGCTGGCATTGAAGTATGTTGTAGAAAGTTGTAGTCCCTGGGATACTGTATTACAGACAAACACCACTGCTTCTCTGAAGCAGTTGTTTCCTTCTTTATATGTATGTGTTTGTGTCTGTTCTAGTAGCCAAACTTAATTAATGTTCATTCTTTCTACCCGGTTACTGGCTAGCTGAAATAGTCTGTCTTCAGGGTTGCAAGAAGCTGCTAAGGATGGAAGCAGTTTTCCTGTGGAGCTGGTATGCTGTGGGATAATGCCCCCTGCCGCTCTTGAGAATCTGCCTTGCCTTGAGCAGGTGATCTACTTAGAGACCAAGGAGATACAATTCCTGCCAAAATGAACCCGTGTGTAAGCACTGGCCAGGCAGTAGGGTCATGAGGCTCTCTTGCCTACAACATAGGTGACTTTTAATTTTTGATGTGGAGAAACGAGCTGCACCTATTTTTAGGAAACCTGATTCTCAATGTGGCATTTAATCTGTAGATACAAATATAGTTTTGGAACTGCAGTGGGGAACTCAAGTGGATGAAGTGATCAATGTTGTCCCGAGGTGGCGTCAGGGTCATGGAAAGTTCCAGAGTGGGTGTTTGTTGCCTGTTCCCTCCCCGCTGGTGCTGCTCCTCCTCCCCTTCCCAGAAAAGCCTGGCATAAACAGCCCACTTGCATGCAGAATCCCAACAAAGCTAGCCCAGTCTGCACTGCCAGTGCAGAACTTGAACAGAACTTAACAGATCCTGTTTGCAGGGTGTTAAAGAGACTTTTTATCAAAGAAAGTTATCATCAAAATAGCGATTTCTGACTTTATAAATTCTTTTTGGAAGTACCAGAGACTGGAGACATGCCCAGTCATTTCAGACATGTCCTTAATCCATCTTCGGTCCATTTTAGGCATTCAGTAGAAGAAGGATATAAGTAGATGAGTACAGGAAAAGCAAAAGGTAGGAGGCGTGTGGATTGGTTTCTTTTTTAAAATATAGTCATTTTTGTTGTGTTACTTAAGAGTTACCTACTTGTGTAAGCAAGCAATAATGATCTAGATGCAAGAAGTGCTGAAGGTTAGAGTTGGTGAGGAATTGTCTAAAAATGGGACTCAGCTGTTGTAAGTTCTTCTCTAAGCACTAATTTAGCCACTTGTCTCTGTGGGTATAAAAATTGATGTGGTTGACCTCTTGTTAGGCACAAGAATGTATTGGTGTCAATATGGAAGTTTTTAGGTTGCTTTTGTGAAGAAAAACTTGTTTGTTCAGGTCAGGAACTTCTACTTTAAGAGACTATTGAAGTTTCATCTGAAACATGTGGTAGTACTATCTGTTGTCCTTATTTGATAACTTCTCCTTTATTGCAGATTATGATGCATGATTATCACAGAAGAAATTCATGTCTATAGCTCTTAAGGACTTGATTACATCATCTTCAAGCCTGATAGTTTTGGAATCCATATTGCAGCTGCAAGGACACATCTGCTTTTGCATTTCAACAAACATCTTCCCTGTCAGAAGATACTGAAACTGAAGTGCTCTAGTTTAACACAGTGATACCATTGGATTATTTTAAGATCTCCCGGTTAAAAATTTACAGTAATATATTTGCTAGGTAAGTTGATGCTGTTAGCTGCATATATAATAGTTAATAGTTTTGCTGAAATTCTGTGGCTTTAAAACCTTGCTGTCCTTTTTTAATAAAACACAAAAAATAAAAGTGTATACAAATGGATAATAATCTTTGTAAGTAAGATTACTGTTGCCAGTTTAGGGTCAAATGCTTTCAGTAGTAAGTAAATTTAAAATAAATGGATTACCACTAGAAATGGGGGGGGGGCTTGCTATTTTTATTGCTGATTTTTGCTATCCACTTTTTCTGTTTTGGGGGTTTTCTTGTTTAGTCTGATCTTCAGAATTTTGTTAAACTTCAGATGGAAATAGAAATTGTTGCTGGTAACATTAGTAGCATCCCACATACACTTTCTTCTAAAATTGTTGAGGAAAGTATACTTTTATACAGCTAACATACTCATGTTAGCAGCTCAAACTTACAGAATCTTTTTTTTTTTTAATCATTATTTCAAATTTATTAGGTCACCTCAGGGTTGTATTTTACTATTGTTAATTAGCTTCCTTTTGTAAAGTGGACTTTTCCTAAGAGTGCTTAGCTAAAAAAAAGAATCAATTAAATGACCTGTAAAATAGCCTCCAAATTCAAAGTTAGTTTCCTCAAGTTATTTTTCCAGTCTTGGTCCACTTTACCTGAGGTGGTATGTTTGTGTATGGGCAAGATCTTCAGGGGAAGTTGCTTTAGCTTTGTGATGACTTAAAATACATGGTGGTTGTTCAGAATGTAGTTAATTCTGTCTGTTTTGTTGGGTGCTAATGTTCTTTCATGACTTCCAGCTACTCTAAAACATTTAATTAAGTTATTACTCAGAAAATTAAACAAAAAATTATTTCTATAGTTATTTCTCTACTTCACTAGTTACTTTAAATTCTTAGTTCTTATTTTTCAATGTAGCTGATTTTTGGGTCTGTGCAAAAAATGAAGCTGACCAGTATGACAGATTTCATGCAGTGAGCAGAAAATAGTGATGAATATACCAAATCTGATCTTCATTGAGGGGAATAAAGCTTCTTGTGTAATCCAGTGGTTTCCAACTTACTCCCACAGAGCTAGCACAGGTTCAGCATGTAGTTTTGGAGTTGGTACCTACTGAAGTGATGTGGATAAGTTAAAAGCTGTGGCCTCACTCTCTATCCAAAGGATTGTTGGCAACATGTACTCATCAGCAGTAGTACTCTTCTACGCTTTTTTTTGAGATGGATTTTTTTTTTTAAATTCCCCATGAATGTTTGTTTTGCAAACAATGTGCTAATAGTACTTCTATACTGAAGCAAAATGTTGTATCTCTAAACTTTACGCATTCCATTTTCAGCCAGACCAACACCAAAATGATTCCTAATGGATATTTGATGTTTGAAGATGAAAACTTCATAGAGTCATCTGTTGCCAAACTAAATGCCTTACGTAAAAGTGGTCAGTTCTGCGATGTCCGTCTCCAGGTAACTTTTTTCTGTCCGAGTATGATGGTTGAACGTGGTAGATTTTTTGTTACACTGTGTAAATGCTATGTACCTCACTGATTGTGAGGCATAAGATTTTAGAATCTGATTTTTCTGAAAAATGCATACTTAAAAATAAAAATCAGATATACTTTGAGAGAAGTGACACACTTTCTTCAGCTGATGTAAACTGGAGACTGTATTGATTTGAAAAATTTATTTGAGCTGTGACGTTCACTTGGGTAGCCCTTTATACTATTATAATACAAACATACTTTTAAAAAATTCTTACCAGCATATGGGTTTCTTATTTGTGTTTTAAATAAAGGTATGTGGACATGAGATGTTGGCGCACCGAGCCGTGCTAGCTTGCTGCAGTCCCTACCTGTTTGAAATCTTCAATAGTGATAGTGATTCGCATGGAATTTCCCATGTTAAATTCGATGATCTCAATCCAGAAGCTGTTGAAGTTCTGTTGAATTATGCCTATACTGCTCAGTAAGTAGTTTTGACAGAAACTAGGGAGAGTAGATTTTAATTTTAAAAAATCAAAAGAGTGAAGATAAATTTCTTTCTTTAATAGGTTAAAAGCTGATAAAGAATTGGTGAAAGATGTATACTCTGCAGCAAAGAAGTTGAAGATGGAGAGAGTTAAGCAGGTACAGTTCTCAGCACTTCGGAAGTCCGTTCTGCTTTCTCAGGCTGACAGCATTATGCTTTTTGGTGTTGAGACAAAAAATGATGATTCTGTGGAAAAAGTGCTCAGTGGATAATCTTCTTTAGGTGTTCATTAGCACTGTGTTGATTTGAGTGACATCAGTATGTATTGCTTCTACTTGTGTTATCTTCATGCTGAAGGGTTCTCTGAAGTTAAGTTTTGTATTTGTGCACCTGTATAAGCAAAACAGCTTCTGAATCGTAGCTGGTTACTTACCTTCAGGTTCGTGGAAGCAGTGGTGTGCTTGGTTGCGTTGGAGGGCATAATTAAACCTGTAAATCTGCGGCAGTGATATGTGAAAAAAGAAGAATCCACACACTCCTGAACATAAGTTCGGTAGAGCTTGACTTAGAACTTACTCTTGCCACAAATGGGGACACCTTTGACAAGGGAATTGGGATTCTTATCTTCACTTGACTGCAGATAAGCAGTTTTGAATAGGCTTTCAATAGAAAAGCATGGGGTCAATGTATATGTGAGTAGTTTTTGAATGTGTATGTGTTTTGGTTTTTTTTTTCTCCTTTTAATACACACATATTCCTACGGAAGGCGACATTTCGTTTACAGCTCTAGCACAGGGTGGGGGGGATGACAACAGACAGTCACTATTCTGCAGTTAGAAAACAGCTGTTGCTGTATGTTGAGGTGGATAATTTAAACGTATAAAAATCTTGTCTACTTGTAAACTAAGATGCAGCCTTTTTTTCCTAAAAGGTTTGTGGTGACTACTTGCTCTCCAAGATGGATGTTCAGAGCTGCATCTCTTACCGAAACTTTGCAAGTTGTATGGGAGACTCACGTTTGTTGAACAAGATTGATGGCTACATTCAGGAACATCTTTTACAGATTTCAGAACAGGAAGAATTTCTCAAACTTCCACGGTTAAAGGTTAGCTTAAGTTTGTAGACTTCCTTCTCGTACATGATTTCCAAAAAGCAACCCGAGGAGCAACTATTATGCCTTCCTTTTTGAGAGTTGGAAAACTTGTGTACTGACTTCTACCAACAATGTGAAAATTCTGGATCTGTATAATATTCGTACTACTCTGAACCTTAACTGTAGAGAACATATACTATCATCCTTTGTAAGCATAAAAAATAACTGCAATAGTACTTACATGTGCTTTCTAGCTTCAGTGGCATAGGCTGAAAGCTCCTCGTAGATGGTGTTTTCTAGCTCTGTGGTAAAGTGAGAGTAATGCTTACTATGTACAGTACGCTACAAATACAAGGGTAATACATATAAAGTAAATAATCCTTTCCTCTTCTGATTCAAGCTTGAAGTAATGCTAGAAGACAATGTTGGCCTACCCAGCAATGGCAAATTGTACACAAAGGTAATCAACTGGGTACAGCGCAGCATCTGGGAGAATGGAGACAGCCTGGAAGATCTAATGGAAGAGGTTAGTCTTTAAGAAAATGGGGTTAAACATCTTTTTTTTTAAAAGTCAATATGAAGGATGATCCCTTTTTTTTTTTTTTTTTAATTTTTTCACTTTTTTAACTATGACCCTAAAGAATTTAAATTTTACTGTAGGTACCCCTAAGCTGAGAAACTGGGGGGGTGTTCAGGTGAGCTGAATGAACTGTTCAGTCTGGTCTTCTGCTTTCCTTTTTGCTCACTATGTGCTGTATAGTAACCTCAAAGTGGCATGTATCTTGCTTTAGAATTGGGGAGGTGGTACTGAAACTTGCCGTAGATTCTTGATGTTTTCCTTTGCAGGTTTTGCTTGTAAATGCAAAGTAGGTAAAGCTTCTAATGGTTGTTCCTCCCCATTGATTTATCTCCCCATAGGTTTATTAACAAAACTAGGATACCAAGGCTGAAGAACCAAGAAGAAACCTCAAGTGTATTGACACGTACAGAAGCAGCAGTCCTGCCCCAGTTCTCCTAAGAAAATCCGCTGTGGGCAGAGAACGATGATGATGATTTAATGGTGTTTACTTACTCCTTTACAGGATACTTTCTTTTAAGTTGTGTGTTATTAAATGGCTTTACTCATGAATACTAATACTAGATGTAGCCTGGGCAGTTTTTAATGGAATAATGAGTGGGGAGTCTAAATTTTTAATTGGCTAGAGAAAATGGACTTTACAAAAACCCATGAAACATCAAAATTTTCCCAGTTTGTTATTGCAAGCACGATAGACCTTCGGCAACGCTTGTATAGGCAAAAGTATATGTTGATATTGTCGTATATTCTCAAGTGTATATTTCCTGTTGGAAAAACTAATTTTAAAAGTTTTGATCATGTTGAAATTCAGATGCATTTCACTGAAACAGTTGCATCTGATGTTTAGTTGCCGACAACAGTTTCCTCCAGAACTTAAATTTGTGTTGTCTTCCCTCATCCCCATACCTTTCTCTTAGAGTCCACTGTTGGCTTCTCTTGAACTTTTTTTTGATCAAGATAAATATATGTGTTTTTCAAAGCAGAAAATTTGTTTGCGGGGATGCGAAAATGCTTGCATGAGATTGTGAATTTGTGTAATTCTGCAAGTTAATGTGCATCTTGCTTGTCTAATGTTTCTGTGCTGGAAAAACAGTCGAAGTCCTTGGAAAACGAAGATTTCTCTCAAGCTGAGAAAGTAAGGAGCCTTCATCCAGTGTTTGAAGATTGCCACCATGACATCTGCTTCCTTTTAGTTTTGTCATTCTGCTAGATTGAGATGAGATGACGAGAAGTATGCTGGCGACTGCCTTTTGTAATCTGCCTGTAGCTAAGTAGCAATGGAGACAGTAGCCACATGGGTATTCTGTTGTTGTTTTTGCAGGTTCAAACGCTGTACTACTCAGCTGATCACAAGCTGCTTGATGGAAATCTGCTAGATGGACAGGCTGAGGTGTATGGCAGTGATGATGACCACATTCAGTTTGTGCAGGTACAAATTGCAGACAGTCTGAGGTAACCCCAGATAGACTGGAGCAGTTTACAGCACACCTGAAGTCTTGGGTACTCTCTTGTAGCAGAGAAAGCAGCAGTAGCTTTAATGGAGAAATACGTGTCGAGAAAGTATCTTTCTCAAAACTGCTGGAGGCGATGATTAGTCTCTGCTTCTGGTTTTTCGGCAGACTCGCTCTAAGCCTTTGCAAAATGGAGTGCTTTAGGTTTGACTTCAAAATAAATCTTAGGCTGTTAGAAGAAAGAAGAGGTAGAAGAGCAGTCAGCTGTAGCAAGTCAGCTGTGGCCTTGTAGAGAGAGATACTCCAGATACTGTAAAGAATCACGGACTCCTTGGCTTGCAGTGGAGAATGGCGTATATGTCTGTTAAATTTTGGCACAGAAAGAGATTCCAGACATAAGTTCTAATCCTTCAGCTGCCAGTGTCTATTTCTTTTGTTCAGCTGCACTGGTAGTGTGCAAGAGAGATTTAAAAAAGCAGCAGTAAATAACTTCTGATCTAGAGATAGCTGATGCTTTGACAGTATACAAATTAGTCTTGAGCTTTTTGAGATGACAATTTTTTTTTTTTTTTTTGGTTCTAGCCAGATATAGTAATTCTCAACTTCTGAAAAATTCGGAGCTTAGCACAATGGAGGCTTTTAAGAAACAAAGAATAAACAAAGGCTAATAGATGTAAATTATCAGTTGCTTTATAGAAATTAAGGTTGTTTAAATTCACTGAGTTAGAAGCAAATATATTGTCATGTTTTAACTCTTAACAGTGCAATGTGCTGATACAAAAGTATACTTCTTGAAATTTTTAGCTAATGTTTATGTTAAACATTCTCCATCCCGGAACATGAATTTTAGAAGAAAAAAAGAGAGGAAAATGAAAAGCCAGCTAATTTTCCAGTTTCTTAATTGTTTTTAGTAAGCCCTCACAGACTTCACCACCTTTGGATACTACTCCTTGTAATACTTAGAAGCTGAGAGGTGAACATTCAAAAAGTTCATTTTTAGAAATAAGGCCAAGAGGTTGCAACTTTTTAAACATCTTTTCTGATAGTAAGTATCGCCAACTTTAGAAATTCTAAACAATTGAGAGAATTAACACCAGAAGCCTATAGATGACAGTCTTGGAAGAACTCTAACTTTTGTAATTCAAAAATTTAAAAGTTTGTAATTTCTGACTGTCAAGGCAATTTAAGGATAAGGGAATAAGCTGTTAATTGGATGAATGTTCAGAAATAACAAAAATGCTATCCACAAATGAATTGATTTTCATGCTGAGTGGAGTATAGCTGTCAAACTCCTGTGTTTAAGTTTATCTACGAGTTAGATGATGTATTTCAGAAGTCTTGTGACAGTTTCCATAGAGATTGGACTCCAGGGAACTGTGTAAGCATTGCACTTGGTACTGTGGTCATAAACTTTGCTGCTAAACAGATTAGAGAGAATGTTAACTTTTTGTGTTTGGTTCTTATGATTCAGAAAAAGCCTGAACAAGTGACATTTTGCGGGTTTTCTTAATCGAGCAAAATAATGTAAGCTACAGTATAAATTTAATTGAAGAAGAAAAGAAAGCAGAATCTCCTGTTAGCAGGAAGTATCAAGGGAGTAAAATCCAAGAAACAGCTAATCTGAGCACAGAGAGGAACTGAGGCGAAATTAATTTGTCTTCAGGGAATGAAGAGAGTAGTTAATTCATTTCCAAATAGTGTTATATAATTGCCTCTAGTTCCAGAAGCAGAGCTTGTGACTGAGGCTTCCACTTTGTAGATCAGATATCTCAAAATGGATGTAGGTTTTTCCTTAGACTTGAAAATCCTGTTAGTAACGCATACTCTCTTCTAAGAATTTGAACTGATTTCTAGTCAGACACCAGCAGTGTAAAGGTGCAGTCACAGGATGAAATGAGCACCAAGATAAGATGTAGGGTGTTTTTTGGCCACTGTGGCTGAGTAGGCAAGATGTTCTGTTGAAAATTTAGGTGTGCTATAAATGATGCTCTGCAGAGGTGGTAGACGAGGTGTTCTCTTGAATAGTTACGTATTGGCGCAGAGAAGCAAAGGTAGAAGGAGGTGTAGTTTCTGGCTAGGTTTCTGTAGCTGCCTTTTGATTTTGCAGAAGAAGCCACCACGTGAGAATGATCACAAGCAGATTAGTAGCAGCACCTCTGGAAGTCTTTCTCCACATGCTACTGTTCAGAGTCCTAAACATGAGTGGAAAATCATTGCTTCAGAGAAAACTTCAAGTGAGTAACTGGGGCAGGGTTTGTCTAAAAGATGCGTCTGGTGTTATGTACCTACCACCTCTCACTCCCTGGGGATTTCCTTCAACATCTGTAAGAAATGCAGAAGTGCTTTTTCTTACGGATGATGTAAGTCAAGTAATTTGCCTAGTAATTTCTGGGATATTTCTAACATAACTGGGGCCAAACTGGGATCACTTACATCTTGATTCCTTATCGACCAGGCCATCCCAAATCCTGTGGTGTGTATAATTTACCCAGAAAGTTCTAAGGAGATAGGCAGTTTCTGATTAATTAACAGAGCTATTTGCTGTGTGGATGTGAGGAGACTGTCTCCTAGCACATCTTTAGATTGCTGTCATGTGTCCTTTGAGCACTACATTAATTATCTAAAACTCATGTTTTTCAGTAACTAGGCTAACACTTGGAACCAGTAACCAGAAGAGATAAAGTTTTTGTACTTATAAGGGGAGAAGCATAATCGGAAAACCCTGGCTGGCATTCACTTAAATTCACCTAAATTTTTATTACATTGGTGGTCTCTCCTTTTCTCCTGACAACAGGTAACACCTACCTGTGTCTTGCTGTTCTGGATGGCGTGCTGTGCGTGATATTCCTGCACGGCCGTAACAGCCCTCAGAGCTCTCCCACGAGCACGCCGCGACTGCTGAAGAGTCTGAGTTTTGAGCTTCAACCAAATGATATCATAGAGAAGCCCATGTCTCCAATGCAGTATGCTCGGTCTGGACTGGGCACAGCTGAACTTAGTGGCAAGCTAATCGCTGCAGGTAAAGGAAATAGTAAAGATTCTTTAAAAAACTTGCTCAGTCTAGGGAGAGGGGAGGACAGTGGCTTCTTAACTCTGTACACTGTATTAGAGTCAGTGTTCGTCAACATCAAAGCAGTTGGTCTTTGGAAATGTGGTATCATCTGACCTTTTGCTTTTAGGTGGATATAACAGAGAGGAGTGTTTGCGCACGGTGGAATGCTACGATCCGCAAAAGGACACTTGGACTTTCATTGCACCGATGAGAACACCAAGAGCTCGATTCCAGATGGCAGTTTTAATGGTGTGTGGTGGGTGGAGATCAGATGAAATGTGACATTATGTAAATGTAGGTGGGATAAACACAGCAAACTTTACAAAATGGTAACAGCAGTTGCTTAACGGTAGTTACACCGTTACTAAAGTGCTAAAGATCTGAATTGTTGCATACTTAGATGTGAAGAAGGTATTTATTTTTTCCATTTAGGGGCAGCTATATGTTGTGGGTGGGTCAAACGGTCACTCAGATGACTTGAGCTGTGGAGAAATGTATGAGCCAGAAATAGATGACTGGACTCCTGTTCCAGAACTGAGAACGAATCGCTGCAATGCAGGTAACACATAGGCAGTTGATCGACTGTTGGTTTGTTGTTTGTGGTTTTTTTTTTTTTTCTTCTTAAATTTATTCATTTATTAGCTTGCTTACTACTCTTTCCTGTATGAATAGGAGTATGTGCCCTGAATGGAAAACTGTACATTGTTGGTGGTTCAGATCCTTATGGCCAGAAGGGACTTAAGAACTGCGATGTGTTTGATCCTGTAACAAAATCTTGGACAAGTTGTGCTCCACTTAATATCCGTAAGTTTGCTGTGTAGTTTGGGAGGGAGGGGGAAAAGGGCGATGGTAAAACTGCAGGTTTAAAACCAAACAAACTGTTTAAATTTCACCTGCTGTAGCGTATTGTTAGTGTATGGCTTCTGTGCTGGGCTGTAACTTCTGGTGTTTGATTATAGGGAGACATCAGTCTGCAGTGTGTGAGCTGGGTGGATATTTATACATAATTGGAGGAGCAGAATCATGGAACTGCCTGAATAGCGTGGAGCGTTACAATCCAGAGAACAACACTTGGACCCTGATTGCGCCCATGAATGTGGCTCGACGAGGAGCTGGAGTGGCTGTTCGTGACGGTAGGCTTCTGCAGGCATAAGCAACCTCTTGTGCTTGATGAATGTTTCACATTACGCTATGATGCAAGTAGAATACAAAGCAGTGTTCCCTCTCGGGGAGGAAACAATGCAGAAAAGCCTGGCTGTGCCTCCAATTTTGATTAAAAACTGCAACCAGAAAACCAAAAAAATCTAGTTCTTGTTTTGAGGCATTCATCCCCACCCCTTTCTTTTCAAAACGTCACCATGCAGCTTCTGGAACTGCATTTGTTTGAATTTGGACTTTGCACTTACTCTGAAATAATTTCCAGTCAGCTCTAATGATCAAGAAACGCGAAGTGGGTCAATACTGTAACTTCAGACCCTGAATAAGGCAAAGGTTTCTGGCAGAAAACCTGAAGTTCCTTCATTTTGGCTTGGTTTGTCTCCCCAGAAAGGAGGCTGTGTTTGGTGACACAGCTGGTGCTTAGCAGCGAAACACTCACTTTGTTTCCTTTTGATAGGAAAACTCTTTGTTGGTGGAGGCTTCGATGGCTCTCATGCGGTGAGCTGCGTGGAGATGTACGACCCTGCTAAGAATGAGTGGAAGATGATGGGAAGTATGACTACTCCGAGGAGCAACGCTGGCATTACGACGGTGGCAAACACTATTTATGCAGTTGGGGGATTTGATGGCAATGAATTCTTGAACACTGTTGAAGTCTACAATCCAGAGTCAAACGAATGGAGCCCCTACACAAAAATTTACAAGTTTTAAGTGAATTAAATTCCCTTTTCAAACTAACAGGCTTAGTGATGTAATTGTGTTTTAGTAGAGGTACACATGTGAATAGGGTTGGGGAGGGCATAGATGTTGCCAACAGCAACACAGAGCTTTTGCATATTGCATATTAATGTGCTGTACATATTTGTTTTGGAAAGAATATCAAGATGAAGGGTTTTTGTGTATTTTAGAACTTGTTTTAGGGTTGTTTTTTTTTTTTTAAAGATTTTGAAGATTATGTAAGAGAAACTAGACTGGGCATATCATTTCAGGAGCTTCCCCCAGTGTTTGTTTTGTCACTTTGCACATTAAATGACCTTTCCTCTAGGATGTGTTCTTGGGGCAGGAAGTGTGAGGTTTATGGGGGATTGGTTTTCTCATCAGGCCTTGTTTTCCTTCAGTAACTGGAACAATCTGTAACAAGAAGCCTTATTTAAATAGATATAATGGCTATTTTTTTTATTAAAAAAAGCTGACATGCCTGCCAATACCTTATCTTTTATGATTGCCTTTTTATAACAGTTTTTATATACTCAGCAGAGTACTTTATCTGTTGACATGAAAATGGCAGATACATGGTTATTGAAGCAAAGAGACAACCTTGGAGTTCATAGAGACTGAGTGGGAGAAGCGATTTACCACTGGATGTGAGCTTCTGAGCTTTTGCCTCTGCTACAGTATTGTAACTTAGTATGCAACACGGTCGTTAGAGCTGAATGGAGTTTCTGAACATAACATAGCTGTGACTTTCTAGGATGGGAGAATTATTTTGGCTCCAAATATTTTGACAAAAATGCAGAGGGTGCTTTCTGTACAGCAGTTTTGTTACTATGGGTGAGCTAACATTTGTAAAACAAAAACTTCAGTGTGGGGTTTTTCTCATGGTTTTTAAACTCTTGCCAGTTGGCAATGAAAATGTATTCATCTGATTAGTAACTGTCTTATTTTTCTAATGCTACAAGCTGAAAGTGTGATAGAACACAAATAACTTGATTTCATATGTGCTCATAGTACTATGTTTTAGTTCACTTTCTCTATTCATATGGATAAAATGTTGGGTAGGATGACTTGGTGTCTAATGTGTAGTGCTGCACATCTTAACTCCTGGTGCCAAAACTAGCACTGACTGCTTGCTGCTGCTGCAAACACATTAAAGGTACCTTTTGGGAAATCCTTGCACCACAGGATTGCTGTGATGTGTCTTTGTGTCCTTTCCTTTAACAGGACAGTTTATATGACATTAAAATAGATGTTTCAAATGTACCTACTTACAGGCTACTCTTGGGATCAGTTTGCTAAAGGCTCTGTGCAAATTAAAGTGCGGTGCTCCAGAGGTGAGATGAGAGAGGGGCCAAGTGAACTTGAAGGTGTGTAAACACTGTGGTGAAAAGAAACACCCGATACTGTAAGAAACTTGATCTGTTTGTTCAGCTGTGTTCCTCGGCACTACTCGGGTAGCTTTAGGAAATTAAGCCACCAGTGGCGGCACTAATTTCAGTCACCATCACGGTCTTAGTTTACTGCTTTGATTCAGCTCTTGCCAAGCTACAGCTCTCTGATTCCCAACACTCACATGTCTGCTACAGCTCCTTTTCACACTACCTAACACAAAGTAGGCATGAGAGTGGGGCATGAGCAGACTACTCCACCTGTATTCTGGAGTTGGAAGACATCAGACCAACGACATGTACTGACTATTCTGAGCTGTAGAGCTGGGTGTGTTTGAGCAGGGGGAGTCAGTATGAGAAAATATGAAGTAGTCTTAATCTGTGTCAGCTATCTTCCCCTAAAGCGCATCAAAAGTAGACATAAAGTAGACATGAGCTAGACACGAGTAGACAGACAAACATCATATGCTTAAGTTGATCTAGGTTCCTAGATTTACAATATGAATTGCCAGCATAAGCTTATTTGAGCATAACGTACGTATCCCAATTTGTGGGGTAACAACTTGAATGGAAATGCTCCGACAGTAATTCTACCAACCCCCTTCTCTCTGACTTTCAAGTGTCTGGGGGCAAGAACTGCATTAAACTTGCATCCACAGTAGTTAGGCAAAGTGAAAAGAGAGCTAATCAAAGAAACTGCCACGTAGAATTAACTGCCATTTACTGTAACAATAAATTAGATTTTTACAATAAAGATTTTACAAATACATCCAAAAGTTGATATCAAAATAAACACTTCTAGAACTTTGCCAGTCATCTCATTGCTGTACAAATACATACATGGAAGAGGTAGGCTTTCAAGGCCACAGCAGCATTGAGAATGGCTTTTAGAAAGTTTTGTGGACTTACTTAAAGCGGTTTTGGAAAGCAACAAACAGTACATTCAAATAGAAATGGCACCTGGAGAGCAGAGACGAGACAACTCATGGAGCATAACCCACAGAGGGGAAACTGCTGTGCCTTTGCAAGAGGGGGTGGCAGAAGAGAAGAATGCAGAGTCTTCCAAAAGATTTCTGGCAGGTTTCTGCTGTATGAAGATTAAGTAGGTATTGTAACAAAGGAAAAACATCCCTTTCCTCTGAAAAGAGGTCTAGGGCAAACACACCTGCATGAGCAGGGGGGGGGGGGGGGTTTGTTTTGTTTTTAAAAATATGAGCATCGATCGGTTTCCTTCCCCATTCCCTCACAGGATACATACGTTGCATCTGTGGTTTAGTCCCTCATGTCTGTAGGGGTAGCAAGCATCACGGGTATCTGGCTTTGTATTCAGCTGCTTTCCTTTCAGACCCCCAGGTGTCACAATCCATCCTCTTTTCTCATTTGTTGCTTCTCAAGTATCAGCAAAACACATACCTTACATGGGTTTTTTTTCTATACAACCATCAACAGCCCTAGCTCCCAACATGAACGTTTGGAATTCACAACAGCAGCCCAGCACGTCTGCTGCACACCAAACTGGTTGCATCAATCCCGAGCCCCTCACTTGAGACAGAAAATTCTATTAGCTTGTGATTCTTAGCAGAAATTCTGACAATTAACGTACATATGTAACTAGCTGTTTTTTTCCTTGAACTCAAAATACAAAACAGCACCATCGAGAAAAAAAGAAGGCAGATTTTTCGTTCCTCGAGTGTTTCCCTCACACACAGCAGAGGAGTTGGTAGACTTCATTTGTCAAGGAAAATGCAGGGGCTGAGCACCGCAGCGCCAAACCCTGACCCAAGTGTCACAGCCAGCCCCTGTTCTTGGCTTCCGTGTGAACCGATGCATGACACTGCTTAATAGTCTGTTCCAGCTGGGCCAGCTGGCAACAGCCAACTTCTAACCTTTCCCTAGGGAAGAGAAGATACAAAGGTTATCAGGACGCCATGGACCCATTTTATAGACAGGAATCTTCCATATATCCCTTTAAAACAAAATTGAAAGGGATTCTAATATCACGCCTTAACCCTGTCAAAAACAGGGAATACTCAGGATCTCTGGAAATCCAGACATATTTTTATCTTTATAGCAAATGATCAAGTTTATTACAGAGCTGGTTAACCACTGCTGTACCCTGCAATGACATCTTTAAAAAGGAACAATCTACGAGCCACACAGCAACCATCAGTTCAGTCTTCTCAGCCCAAAACTGAGCCTTCAACTAATATAAAATGTTACTAGTTTTTACTGAATGTGTGTAAGCTGCAAGTCAACTATACATTTCCTATAGCTTTATGTGTTGCAGATAGAACCAAGTTTATCCACATTTACAACACAGAGGCTGATTTTAGGCTTCTGGGATAATCTGACTTCAACCTGCAGCTAGTCCTGTTCCTCTCACACTTGCCTGACACCTAATTTTTCTGATAATTTTGCAGAGTGTCACCAATCAGGGACAACATTTTACAAGCTTACACTCCTACAAGTTAAGTATTGTTTAAATTAGCTACTCATAAAGGGACTTATGGTCACATACTCAATATGGGACACCCGCACTGAGAAAAAAGTACTATAAGAAACATTTTACCACAGCAATTCCTGTTTTGGAGCATGTGGCAGGCCAGCAAATGGTGTTGAATGTTTAAATAGCAGCCACCCTAGTTCAACACATGAAAAACCATTCCAATTTCAACGTTCTCCTGAAAGGTGGCAAAACAAAGCTTCCATCCCTCAGAACGCTTCAATAAATGTTGGCAAAACGACCAGATGCAGGATGTCATTTCGCCATGTCTAGTTTCATAAAAATCACATGCAGACACTGAACCACTGCAGGTCTGCTGCATTTTTATTTGCTCACACAGTCTGACCAGTCTTCCCTGTGCAGTTTGCCTTTTTTCCAGCAGTAAAATTGCCAAAATACCTGCTCCTGTTTGTTTATTTGAACTTGGAATTAGATGGTAAAATTGGTTAAATGGTAAACAGCAAGGAAAAAAAAAAATCCTTATTTCTGGACTTAAGCTAGAGTATTTTGCAAACATATTTACTATTGCACTTAGGGAGGAAAAAAAAAAATCAACCACAGATAAGGCAGCTAATTCTAAAAGTTTAAAAAAATGACCTCATGTGTACGTAAAAATTGTTATTTTAAACAATTAGCACAGATTTTTATGTTCTTGCTTGTACGAGCATGATGTGCAAGAGACGCAAAAATTCCCCTTCACCCCCCTGGGAAAAAGGAGCAGATGCCCCTAGCATTGTGTATCCCTCCTGTCTGCTCACACCCTCACCGTAGCCCCTCGGCACACGAGGTACTGATGAAATAGCAACTGCTCTACACATGATCTGCTGGGTAATTTCTGCAGGCTCCTCTCTGGTATTTGCAACCAAACAACCTCTGAGGAGGAGCAGCTAATAGGAATCATTTGTTGCTTTCTTACTAGGGAATTGGCTACAAAGCTTGAAACCAGTTGTCCTGACTCAAAATATGATTTAATACATTTATGAATTTAATGCTTTTTTTTAACTAAAAAGGCATATAGCAGAAGACAAACTATGCAGTTGTGATGTGTATAATCAAAAAGACCATTTCTATACAACCCAAGTAGCAATGACTTTTGCTCTAAAGCTGCTAAAATCAAGGATTTTATGCAAACACCTTAAAACAGCCAAACCACGACTCAGTGAAAAGGCAGAGCTCCTTTTTTCTTTTTGCTTTTCACTGTATTATTTGAAGGTAGTTTTAAAAAATAATCAGCACTGAAAGGTCGGTTATTACAGCTTTCTTAACAGAATGGGGATTTTGGAAGGTTCAATTCAAACCATCTTTCATATATTCACATATAATGTATTTAAACAGAAAATAAATCTCCTGACTACACTAATTTATTATTTATACTTTTGTTTCAAAAGAGGAATCTAAACCTGATTACACAGAAAACATTCTGTAACTTTGGTTTTCCAAAAGATACTTTCTCAGGAGACCATTTAAAAGGTACTCCTCAAAAAAAGAGGAAAAATAGGCAAGGTCAAGTTATGCAAGTGCAGCCTGAGGGCTACCAGACCGGCCTCTGAAATAATTTTTTTTTTACTATGCTGCTGAGCACAAATTTACACACATTCTTTTCTTCATGCCTGTATTGATGCAGATCTATATCCATTAGCTAGATTTATCAGTTTGTTTTTTTCAGTTGATCAACTTCTTTTTTTAAATATATATATACTTTTTTTTTAATACAATTGAAACACAGGGATGCTTTTAAAAAGATATGCACCATACCCTCCCAGTATTTTTTGCTCTCACAAGTAACATAAGCTTGGCAGATCAGCCCGACAGGGCAGGAGATGAATTCTATCACAAAGAGCAGTCTAAATGTATAGCATTTCTCTGGCAATAACCTATAGCACTGGCACAGCTACTCTGATGAAAGAACTCCATCCTCCTGATGAATGAGCTCCATTCATCAGCTACAAACTCCGCCTCTACTCAGTTTTGACACTGGCGAGCAAGGCACAGCTGGGCAGCCAGTAGTAAGCACACAGTGTACTTACTCAGGCTACCAGTCAAGTCTGCGTACAGAGCAAGAGCGAACATCAGGATGCCTCAGCAGTACAAGTTATAAACTCTCCGCAGCAGTGAGTGTCTTGACAGTTTTCAAGAAGAGCTCTTAAATACTAGTGCAGAAAAGTATCTCGGCTGAGACATGAATATTTCATTACCCTTATCTTCCTACATCACTCTAGTCACCACTGAGTAACGGTTAAAATGGTAAACAGTACTACACGCAGACTTTTAGACCCAAGAACAGTGCAATAGG